TTTATTTTTTATTGATAGATTTAAATCAAACAATTAAACAGAATTAACCCAAATAATTAAATTTAGTATTTCTTTATGAATAACAGAATCACAGATAAAGTATTAAATCCGTGACAGGCCAGATATCGCAAGGCTTTACCCGGAGATTTAAACAACAGATTGTACTATTAAGTTTCGTTGAATTCTTTAGAGCAGAAAATATATTCGAGACCAGAAGAGAAAAGAGTTACCGAGCCCTACCAAGGTGAGATTCTGACCTCCACCGAGCCCAAAATTGATAAGCTTCCCTCCTTGACTCATCTTGTAGAAATTCGGTGAGATTATGGACAGATGCCCGCCCTTACCAACACCTTAATACAATACTCCGGTATTTTCCCTCATTATAGGGTAAAGCCGTACATAAATTTATCAAAATATCACTACTATCAAGACACCCATACTGTATTAACTTTTACTGAGTACATCGTGTCAGTGAGCACAGAGATAAAATATATAAAGACGAGCGCTAAACATGATCTCAAGTACTGATACACCTTGACCCCTTCACTAGGGGGACGCCACTTTTAATAATTTATTTTAGCTGAACCCCCCCACCCTCCTGCTGCCCCTACACAAAGGGTTTAGATTGGGGCCCCATTTGAATCGATTTACCCATTAGGGGGACCAGTAATAGTGAGATTCAATCCCAGTAGTTAGGATGGAGCCTTTTAGGATTTAGGAGCCTATTTAACCAGTCACCAAAATATTAGCTTAGTCACAAGCACGTTGTCTAAAATACAGGTTACTGTTCACAGGGAAATATAAATGTAATTAACGTTATTTTGGATACAAGAGGATTTGGGTATAGAGTTCGTGTGCTCATTAGAGATTACTGTATGGCTTTATATGCATCTCCCTTATATGGTGTCGTGAAAAATTGGTTCAACTTCTCTGTACTAACTTTGTGATCTGAATGACGATGAAATTGCGCAGATACTTTAATGTTACTTCGCTGGGCCGGATATTATCAGTAATTGTGCCTGATAAAACCATCAGCTGGGTCGGGTAATACCACTAGTTGGGTCGGATATCACTAGCCGGGTCGGATAATACCACAGCTGGGTCGGATAATATCACTAGCTGGGACGAATATTACGCACGTAATTTTCTAGAACATAGACCCAGGTTTTTACATAGTGTACAGCACATGCTATCTAAGTCGTGAGCGCCTATACGGTTTTTAGACTGCAATAACACAGCGGCTACTGGATAATGTATATGAGGCATAATCTATCTAAAATCTTCCGATGGTGCAAAAGAAACTTGCTGACTTATGGAGAATGTGAAGTGAACCGTGACAGGCGATATGGGGCTAGTGTTACGAGTTGCCCGGCCGTAACTACCTGTTAAACACTACACGCACCTCCTGCAACAGTCAATCATCCACAAGACGCCTCATCACCCATAGCTTGGACACGAGTGTTTAAATATCAAACTTGGTTCGCTTACCATCTTCGAGCATCCTTAACAATTTGCAAACTTTAATTAGACTTTATAGGGTAAAGATAATAATGAAAACGGGTGTAAGTATATACAAGCTCCGATGAATACAATTTAGAGCGAGACGACCGGGTCCGGTTTTATAACTGATTATACACTACAAGACCGTGTAGGTGTTATCGACTCCAGGACCCTTCAGCACCCAGAGGTTTACTCAACGGCCGCCATAAACTGATACTTATGTAAACCAACACATCAAACTCATTATTGAACAATTTCGCATTAATTGCATCTTGCAAGACTAAATTATATACTGGTATATATGTTTAGAATGGATGCCGACCCGGGTCCGGCTCTCAATGTTTATTTTGCAAGATTGCCGGATGTACCTGATCTGTATACAAACTAGCCGCTGATGAGGACAAACACACACCAACCGTACTCAACCTATAAGAATCTCGTGTTGAGTCCGAGCTCTTGCCGCATGATGCTGCTTACTGCAAGAGTCCACATGGCCACATCAACATCGCGCGAGCAAAGCCGTTTATTTTATATCAATGTATATATACCCGGCTCTTAATCAAATGTAAATGGAAAGCAGTTAGTCATATAATTTGCTCAAGGCCTAGTTTTAATAAGAACAAAAAGGCCCCAAACAATGCCATGCGCGAAGGCCAAGTACAAATACTATCCCGTTTGGGGTTTTGAAAGAGGTAAAGAATGTTCAAATCGGAAACATATACAACACGCGCTAGTTATTTTTGGAAGGTAATTTATACATCATCGAGGTGATAAGGGACATAAACTATTACTTATATTACTCCCCTCCGGACCACTAGTGTTGTTCGCCCTCTCTCTTGTCTTCTCGTGTTATCTCCTGTCTTCAATTTCCTCTTATCGCTCATATTACAGAAACCACATTTTTTTTCATTCGTGGTAAATCTCAAGAGGATAATAAGACAATAATACACGTTCTGTGATTCTTAGATTAGATGAAAAATGGCCGAGTGACGGACACGAGTAGGACAAGTATTGCCGTGATTCACCTAGTCTTATCAGTGAGATAAACAAAACAAATAGACGCTAATGAGTTGAAGCCAGTCACATCAGCCTGAAGACCGTAGGACACAGTGACAGTCCACTTGACCGGCGTCTGGCGGCCGCATCACTGCCATTATTTTGAGTACCGTATTCATATACACGCGACGTAAATCCATCTGAAGAACAGGTTTGTAGATGTGATCTTGGGCGACCCCGGGAAGCAAGTCTGGTATTCACTCACAAGCCTCTCCTCCCTGTGAGGTACTCTACTGATGGCTATTGTACCTCGGTAGCGTTTGTTGGAAGCCCCCATTAAACCTATACCGCGTCCACTCTTCCCTGGAGAGACCTACTATACCAAGGGGGAGTCCACTGTATCGCAGGAACATCCCCTGTGCTCTAGTGCCGCCCACCTTATTATGGAGGTGATCATTGTACCGATGAAGGCATCCACTTTATCCCGGTGACGCACTGAACCCCTGGGAGTGTCTAATGCTGGCACCTACGGTACCCCGGCCGCGTCTACCAAACCCTAGCCGTGCTTACTGTACCATGGGACATCGACTGTACCGCGGTGACGTCCACCCCAAGGTCCACTGTATAATGACAATGTTATCTGAGCCAAAGTCAGAGTCCCAACATTCCTCACTCCCCAGTATAGGGAATCACTACAGTAGCCATCAGCCCGACGTACTGAATTCCGATAATTAGTTTGATCCTGGTCGCCAAATATGTGTACTCCAGCAGCTACAATACTTTCAATGAACATGCTAATATAATCATCAGTACTACGTTAATATACAGTGATCTTGTATGTTCAGTGAAACAAGCTAAAAATTGTAGTCTGCAACTGACTTACCAATCTCAAGTAAAAACTACAAATAAAAACTCACATCGACCGGTTTACCAGCTAACCTTCCTCTCTTGTGGGTACTCAACCACCGTGGACACAACCAACTGTCAACACCTGTTTAATTAGCATCAGTAAAATACGCTGCCGTGTTCTATAAGGTTACCCGCATTTCAGGGAGACAGCTTTGCATATAACCAAGGTATTTCACATAACAAAGAGCAATAAATGTACAACGCTTTTGTCATTATTTGCAAGTCTTCATAAATTGCAGTCAGTGGAACACAGCAAATGTCTTTTTTCCCCAAATTGTGGACTTGTTAAATAATCTGGCGCGATAGGCTACTTCACCACGGGCTTCATTACAATTTAAATTATAATTTCGCTTCGACATTCAATTAATATTTTTTTCATTATCTTTTACTTTCGGAACACAATGAAATTATCTCTATTGATTTTATCTTATATTTCAAACTGAAAACTAATTCTAATCAATAACTAGTAAATGACTCCACACACACACGTTGAAGAGTATAATTGACTGATGTACCGCAGACTGAGGATCTTTCAAATTGTTGGGAGTTTGCAGGAAAACAATGACATGATGTTCCGCCACGTACTTCGTCGTCATGGGTATAAATCCTAAAATAGGCTGAGTATTCCATCCAATGGAGCACCTGGCATACATGGCTCCTCCCAGATGCATTTGTATTACACACATGTTACGGAGACTGGCTGTATAGATGAAACTATTTTTTTTAATCTACGGTACTCGCTTCTACAGTTCGTGATGCTTTCTGCTAGCAAATTTCACCCTCTAGCATCTCATCCACTCCTGAAACAGCTTAACTCTTTCTCATTCGACCGCAGTTTATAAACTCTATGCTATGCTACCTGCCCCTTACTTTCAACTTGCAATACTGAAAGAAAAGAAATAAAAAAAATAGCCAGATGCACTGCCTTATGACTATGCATGAACTCGAGTGTGTACACCCCACCCCATCAATCTGATATATATAATGTGCACAAGATACAAACACAAAATATACATGCAAACATTCATACCTCCACATGCAGAGACGCCTGTATATGAATCCTAAGTCAGAGGCTACACGCCAACCCTCCGCAAAAAGTATCCAATATCATGCAGCTAGTGTTAATTTTATGGAGAGGGTAACGCCAATGCTTCCAAATATTGAAAACAGAGTGTAATCATTTACCAGGGGAGCTGCTGCCAAATCGATGCAAAACTTGTTAACGACGTCTTTACAACAGCAGAGAATACGAGTATGATCAAGTGAAGCGATTTATACTGGGCGCAACATTTTTAGGTGTATCGCCTTTTTCTTATGTACAGCTATATATATTCATGGCTGGAGCATCAAACCATACAATAAACAGGATATATTGCCTGAGAACAATCGCTAACTGTACACATTACAAGCTGTGAGCGTCGTAAGTAGCCCCTTATATCTATCACTCCCATTCCTGGCAAGACAAGACAGCTTATTCATACGTCGCGCTCCACCCCCAAGGTCGCGCTTGTAGCCTAGTGCACCCGACCATGCCCTTGTATGTACGTTACAGTGCCAACACCCGTCTAAATATCTTATAAGATATGATGTAAAAGCTATGGATGGGTGATAAACTGTGTAGCAGGTGTCACTCCCAAGATAGCATCAGCCGCAAGGACAAAGTGTTTGGTGGTGCGGATAACCGGGGGCGGGGAGGAGACTGCAGTGTGGGAGGGCTTGAGAGTTGTGGCGCAACTTGGCTTCATGAATGAAACTTCTGCTTCACTCCAAGTCCACAGCCTCGTTCATGTCTTATACACTTTCTACGACCGAAAATATAGTCTACTGAACATCAACACTATTAAAGTCTTGTTCTTATTGAGCATACACCAATTGACTGTTTATTACTAATCTGGGAGTATAACTATATTGTGCAGTATAAGATTAAAAGTTGTGGGTACTACAAGCCAGCAACGTAAAACTCATTGACAATTCATGCTGTTACACACACACACACAAAATAAAAATGGGAGACTATATGGCAGCTCAGTCTAAAAGACAACATAAACCAGGTGTATGGTGGTGCACCTGGCCGTCCCAGGTGACAGGAGAACCCTTGAGGTACTCACCTACGCACTCGTTGGCCTCGCGGGCGGTGGCTCGACCCCAAGGACGATCAAAGTGGAAGCGTTTACACTTCTCACACTCGCGTCCGTCGGTGTTATGGGCGCAGTCACACACCAGGTCGCCCGAGGTCTTGTCAGGGATGCAGCGGGACGCGTGGCCGTTACACTTGCACCGGCCGCCAACAGCTAAATCAGCTACAGCATAGCTGAAGCTCTCCTGGGCAACGCTTTCGTTGTCGGCTGTGGCTTCGTCCAGCTCCGGGTGAAGACGATTCAACACCACTTTGATGTCGGTGGCTGTCACCCAGTCCTGCAGCACGGGCGACGCGTCAAAGTCGTAAGCGGAAGGTCGCCCCTCCAACGTGCTGAAGGCAATCCTGGCTGAAGCAGAGCCTGTTAGCGGGTCATTGTGGCTCAGGTGGGCGTCGGTGCAGAGAGCCTCCTGCTCGTTGGCTTTACCTATAACCATGCGACTCCGCCGCCCGTACACTTTACGACAATGAGACGAGTAATACTGGAAAGGGATCCAGGTCCGTCCGTAATCCATGGACTTGAAGATGGAGAGCGAGTCAGGTTTCTGGCCGCAGAATTGGAGGCTGATGTAGGTGAGCTCGTACTTCTTGCCCAGAGAGAGTGTGAGGGTAACGTTGTCGGGCTTGAGGGGGTCGACGGGGGCGGAGTGCCAGCAGGTTAGATTATTGGGGTTGTTGAGATCGGTGAGGTAGTGAGGCGGGTGAGATCGGGCAGGGTCACCGGCGTCGCACACGTCACACTGACGGTTCACCTCGCCCTTCTCCTGTGTGGTGACACAGTAGCGCGAGGGAGGAGTCCCGCACGTGCTCGACGTCTCCACGGGCCGCCCGAATGCCGCGTTGATAAAGTCGGGAATGCACTTCTTGGGAAGCCCACCCGACTCGTCGTAGCAGGGATCTGGTGGGTTGTACTGGGCCTCAAACATCTTGAGATAGCCGCCACCCGTAGCCTCACCTAACCTTCCCTGCACCATCAACGCGGCCACCAAAGCCACGCACCTACACAACACCATCGTTATTTGAACCACAAGGTCAAGGCCTCGGTTTGCACTACAGATCAATCAAAGAAACTGATACAATCACATTGGACACTGTTGCACTAACGTAATCTGTTACACATTCTTCAATTTACCACATATTCAAATCACTTCGAATTACAAAACACCCTATCTATAAAACTCTGTATGCCACTACAACATTAACTTGTAGACGAATCAAAGATTATCTCACGAGAAAGATCGACAAGAGTTATCCCTCTTCACTGGCCACAACAGGAAGGGGCTCAGAGCGAGGGAGTGCACAACTCTCCCGTGCGACGTCCGAGTGAACACTGAGGCCCGGGGTGCGAGGGGGCGGGGGCCGGTAGACTGTAAGGGGCGGAGTTTGGCGGCCGGCTCCTCCTCCTTCTGGTCACCCGACTTACAAGCTGGATAATCCCCAGGATACTCTGACCTCTGACCCGCAAACCACTAACTGATACATTTTTTCTTGCCTGTGAATCTATATGAAATATTAACAGCTGGGCCCAGTGTCATGTAAAAAGCACTAATAGCTCACTGAACTGAGCAGATTACGAAATACCGATATATCGTTTTGATCAGTCAACAGCAAGCTGAATCATTATCAGTGAGGCCCAATCAATAACCGCGAAGAAAATGCACATAAAAAAACAATTGTGATAATAACAATAGTAAGGTGTTGCTGCTTCATCTACTCCATGTCTTATATATCATTACGTGATAAACGTTTATGTGAAAAGCTCAACATATCTTTATGTATTTTTGCAAAACATAATAATTACGTCGTTAACGCCTCTGTTGTGTGTTTAATGAGAAGACACAACGCCACAATAACGAAGTTTTCTAAAAAAAAAAATTCTTGCTAGATGGATGAATTATGAAGACTATACGTGTGCAGGAGCGGAGCGGGACAACAGTTGTGGGTAAGTCAACGCCTCTGGATTATGTCCCTCCGGAGAATCTCACCGGACAGAATAATAACAGTTTAACCTGACCTGACCTTGCTCTCTGTATTTCTCTGACAGCAAGGGTCTTTGTCCAATGGGATCTTGTGGAATGAACAATGAGCAATGAGTCATGACACGGGTCGGGCGGGGGCAGCTATTGACGGTAACTAAATAATGGAGATACAAAAATAATTCTTGTATATATATTTTCTACCTTCGTTAATAAATATACCTGCCACCATAAATATCCTATGATATTTCCTTCACTTAGATAATTATCCATTTCTTAAGAGTATACTATTTGGATTAATTAAGTGTAATATCGTCAACACATTTCTCTTAAATCGTGGTTAGACTTCACAGAATAATTTTATGCTTTACTACCGAACACGGCAAGTCTGAACGTCAAGTCTGAACATTTTAGCGGAGTGTGGGGGGGAGACTTCGAGTGTTTTTGTCATCATAACATTATAACATTACAAGGGAGACGGTGGGAGTTATTGTGATGGGGGAGGATTATTATAGTGATGGGAGAGGATGATTATAGAGATGGGTGACTGGATGGGGGAGGATGATTATAGTGATGGGTGACTGGATGGGGGAGGATGATTATAGTGATGGGTGACTGGATGGGGGAGGATGATTATAGAGATGGGTGACTGGATGGGAAGGATGATTATAGTGATGGGTGATTGGATGGGGGAGGATGATAATAGTGATGGATGACTGGATGGGGTAAGTGGGTTGGCGGATTATGGTGACGGGTGAGTGGATGGGTAATCGTCACGACACATTTGGTGATACCGGGTACGGAATCTGAAGACGTTGAGACATGCTGATGACTTCTGGGATCCACTGAGGGCCTCCAGATTAAAAAAAAAAAGTGTTGAATTTTGTGACTTCTGGGGAACGTATTCGGGAACCTCCGGATTCAATTTTGCGAGGATGGACACGACGGTGAGTCCTGGAGTGTAACATCTGGAGATTCATTCTAGTAATCTTTATTTACTTGAGGAACGTTTTGATCTTCGCATAGAGACGCATTTCTATTTTGAGATGTTTTTAAAATTACAAGGACTTATTTATATTGACATGTTTTATATTATTATCATACTGAAGTAATTATTTTGAAGGGAAAGTTATATAATAATAGACCAACGTTATTGACAGGGGGACATTCTATACCGACATGCAAACGTATTCATATTGAGATATTTACCAAGATATTTTAACAAGATATTTATATTAATAAGAACGTTTTTTATTGCTAATCTACACCCTAAGATAGATAGAGATATCTTCGGACACCTCAAACACCGACTGTCACGAAGGATGGCATACAAGCATTTTGAGACACGTTTCTCAAGTGGCAGCAACGCTTTTAGTAACAACTTTTTACTTTTCTCGAAAGATTTTATATTTTGAAAACCATTTAAATATTGAAAAACATTTTTTGTATTGCTGGAAATGTAATATTGATAAAAAAAATAATTACTATTGAGAAAAACGTTTCATATGGAAGGAAGTTTTCATGAATTGAGAGAAATGTTTTAATTCGAAAATTATAATAAAATATAGTGATAGATACGATATATATTAAAACGTTTACACAGACAGAAACGTCTTATACTGACAAGCGTTTTATATCAACTGAAATGTTTCTATTATAAGAATTTTTTTTCGAGGGAAACGTTATTATCTCTTAAAAGACGAAATAACGTTTTCGTATTGACATTTTTTTTCTTCCATAACTGACAGACTATTTTCAGAACAAGGAATAATTTTATACAGAAAAAAAATATACTTAAAAATACACAAGAGGACAGAAAACACCCAGCCAGTCCTCCCCACGTATAGGACATGCTGGTACAGTTAAACCTCTATATAACGGACTTTTTATCCATATAATACGTTGGAAGGTGGTTTCACATCTAACGGACCCTCGATATAACGGACTTTCATCCCCATATTGTTAGTTAGCTGCAGGTTTCACACACGGCCTGGTTAAGGATTACGCCAAATACGCCTAGGGCCTCCAGTATTTTATTTTCCCAAGCTTATTTTTACATTTTTCTGTTCGTACCATTTTTTTCTATAAATACAATAAGATAAATAAATTCTCTCCCTTGAAAACTGAATTTTTACACATTAAAAAATAACAATCAGAGGGACACTCGCGATGGTCAGCGTTTACGACCTTCCTTGCCTGGTTAATAACTGTATGAGGTCATTCCTCTCAGCCAAAAAATTTAAGCAATCTTTGTATTCTCTCAACAGAGTTTGATCTCACACGATCATTAAATTTCAAAGATGTTGTGAATAACTTTGCCGCAATAAAGTTAAGGAAGAAAACTTTTGTGTAAATGTTTGCTCAGTTCTATATCCTTGTACATCTTTTGTGAAATATTTGTTACTGAATAAATCTGTTGTTATATGCGTTAACTAGAGTAACTTTTGTCATCTTGTGCTAAACTAGAAATAATATATGTGTATTACATTGTCAATAGTATTCTAAACTAATAATTTACTTATATAAAATATTTGTTGTCCTGAATCAATCTATTATAATATTGTGTTCACGTTAAGTGTATTCATTTTATCATCTACTGAACTAGAAATTATAAATAAAGAAATATTTATTTTAGGTAAACTCCAATCTTATTTTAATTTACCGAGACATAAAATAATATACAGTTGATAATGAATATCTTATTGTACAGGGGTACCTAGTGACAGCACTAGGATCCCGCTTCCTCTATCAAGGAATAAGCAATTGAAATTGAATTGAAATTGATAATGAATACACGAGTCCCCCCCCTCCCCCAACCTTAACCAGGCCTTGGTTTTTTCACATTTAATGGACCCTCGATATAACGGATTTTCATCCCAATATTGTTCGTTAAATAGAGGTTTCATTGTATCCTTATTCTGCCACAAAGCGTATATTTTATATATATATATATATATATATATATATATATATATATATATATATATATATATATATATTATCCTGGTACTCAAAGAAACACTGCCAGATATTAAAGACATGTTTGTGAATCTCCAGCCACTGTTTTTTATCCTCCCCACCTCTCCTGAAGACACATTTATTTTATAACACAAGTCTGTCAGATCAACGGGGGTGCTGGCGATTTCCTCCTCCTCCTCCTCTTCCCACCACTTCAGTAAATGACGGTGTATTCGTGTAATTCAGCGAATGTAAGACAGAGAAGGATTTAGGCGAGAAAAAATAGGTTATTTCTCTTATCTCACTATTTCTCTCTCATTGAAAACCTTTTAAAAACTTTAAGTAGATCTATTAAAGAAAGAGACAGAAGGGATATTCCCCCCCCCCCCTCTCTCTCTCTCTCTCTTGTGGAAAAATCTAATTACATGACGTATAATCATTATATATATATATATATATATATATATATATATATATATATATATACACATATATATATATATATATATATATATATATATATATATATATATATATATATATATATATATATATATATAGAGAGAGAGAGAGAGAGAGAGAGAGAGAGAGAGAGAGAGAGAGAGAGAGAGAATTATTTCTTCTCTCTTTCTTATATCAAATTCCCTAAAACAACATTCCAGGGATATCTTGGGTTCCACCATAACAAAACACTATATATATACCTCTTTTAAGGCTCCTCAGTCTTCTAATTATTAAATAACTTATAACAAGAACCAACTTGACCTATACCAGGAAAATATAACACAACAGACGTCTCTAAAAACCGCTGTCTGGATACCCAAAAAGGTTCGTGTGGTGACCGTAGTGTGGACTATCAAAGGTTCGTGTGGTGACCGTAGTGTGGACTATCAAAGGTTCGTGTGGTGACCGTAGTGTGGACTATCAAAGGTTCGTGTGGTGACCGTAGTGTGGACTATCAAAGGTTCGTGTACCGTGTGTGACCGTAGTGTGGACTATCAAAGGTTCGTGTGGTGACCGTAGTGTGGACTATCAAAGGTTCGTGTGGTGACCGTACCGTACTAGTCATCAAAGGTTCGTGTGGTGACCGTAGTGGACTATCAAAGGTTCGTGTGGTGACCGTAGTGTGGACTATCAAAGGTTCGTGTGGTGACCGTAGTGTGGACTATCAAAGGTTCGTGTGGTGACCGTAGTGTGGACTATCAAAGGTTCGTGTGGTGACCGTAGTGTGGACTATCAAAGGTTCGTGTGGTGACCGTAGTGTGGACTATCAAAGGTTCGTGTGGTGACCGTAGACTGGAATATCAAACATTCGTGTGATAACTGCGATATAGATTTGCGGTCGCCCTTTATCTGATATCCAAGGTCTGTTTTTATTCAAATT